ACCATGACCGTAACAATTAGGATGTTATATCCCATTTTTCATAAGAACTCTATAGCTCTTTGTATCTATGACTAAATTTAATTTGCGGTAACGAAATCCCTAACTTCATAATTTCTCAATAGTACATATATTATGTTCATTGAAAAGGCATAGCGATGAAGTTATGAAATGTACACACCGTAAGAAAATGCAAAAGGAACATCACCGTCAAAAAGGGAAAATTAACAATTGGAAATGAAACATCGTCTATTTTGTCGTACATTTTTATATAAAGTTTCTCGTGTAAACTAAAATATGAGTCAGTCAGTCTTGTGAATAAAGAACAGCTGGCAGCTGGGCAAAGATGTTTCCCAAAAGAATGTCGATTGAAAAACACGTCATCAGAACGGAAAAAAATATGTTGACTTTGAAACTATCCAGCATTTTGCTATGTCAGTTTCAGTAAAAAAGAATAATTGTTTTTTAAATCGTTTTTGCTAATCTACGTGTTGTGTTAATGTTATTCTGTGTTAATGCAAGCTATTCAATAAGAATATTCAAGAATGTGACGTATCTCTTAAGATTTGTAAACGTTAATACGTGACAAAGTATACTATTGTACATTACTACTGACAAATGTAAAACCAAAGGCATATTCTCAATAGGGGCTTCTAACAAATATTAGGAAAAAAACTAGCGCTATCCATCTTCACATTCCGTTTTTTTAAAAAGAGATAACGATTGATTTGCATTTCTTTAAAACTCTATTTCGTGAATGATAAAGTTGTATCTCAGATTTCATATTTGACAGGCGACAAAACATGCTTTGTGAAGAAAAAACAAATTTGATTCAAACGAAACATTCTCGGAAACGAAACTGTAAGCAGCTAGTTTTTTTTGGAGATTCATAAATGTTAGATATAAACAGCATACTATTTCTTGTGTTGGCTGAGTTGAACAGTTTTTTAAAACTCAAGACAGTATCGTTGGATTTTTATTCTTGCATTCACACGGACAACTATTGTGCGGAAGCATCAATTCAATATGACAGAAACTTGAAGCATAAAAACATTAACTTAGATACTAAAACAGACACCATTTCTCCGTATTAAAAAAAATAATTGCTAGAACTTATCTTCCGATCTATATGAGCTTAACTTAAATTGTGCAATATATATCGTTGTCCAAATCATTGTATTTCTTTGTGCAATGTCATATGAAGTGCACATATTTGCTGTCGGATAATTCCTGTTAACTGGTGTTTGATTAAACAGTCAAGTCATCTGAGTTATATCCTCAAGTTGTAATCATCGTTCTGTTAAAAATGTTAAAAAAAATTCTTCAATTTATTTCTCTCTGTTTTCGACTAATTTAAACTACTTAATATATGTTTATATATAATGTTGTTCTATTCATACTTTACCTGTATGCATTGTCATGTGCAGTGTCATTATTTTTACGAGTAAATGAATGAATTAATCAATTTCTTAGATCTTTTCTTCCGACTTAAAGTTATGACTGTCTAGTATTGACTTAAACTTACAAGGCCTTATGTGAAATATGATTTTTATACAATAATACAACTGTCTAATTTTTTTGAATTTTAAATGATTAGTTTTGTTGAATGATCGAGGTGTGTAAAGTCTTTGTAGGTTTTATACAAACCAGGATTCAAAGAGAATTTCAAATTAAAAAAAATATGTGAATAAATATAAACGAATGGAGAAAAAGCGGACTGTGTCTGATAATAATGATCAAACGTCTTCCTAAAAAACCCAACTCAGCAAAGGTATGAGAGGAAAATTATGTTTTAGAATAACTTTATAAAAAATATATGAATGTCCTTTGTCAATCTATAACACTAGTTAATGAACGTTAGTCTCAGATGGTCATTTTGATCTAAACAACATCTGAAAGGTTTGAACAATAAATTATTAAGTCATGTTCAGTCTTTAATCAATTGTCAGACTAATCGACTGCGGTAAATTTAGAATTTTTCAGACTATGCACCTGCAGTCAATTCAGTACTGTTAGGTACCTTTTTAGACAATTCAGTTGTTGTTGATGTGTACAGGTAAAAAACCAATACTGAAAAGTTTGAACATAGACTGCACAGAATTGAATTGACTGCAAGATATCAGTCTGAACTTTACTGAATTTTCCGCAGCTAATAAATCTGGAAGTTGACTAAAAGATTGAAAACGACTTAACAATTTATTGTTCAGTCTTTCAAGAACTGTTTATTATAAAATGGCCGTTTCAGATCATAATTAGTTAGCTAGTTCAAATTGGGAAAACACAGCTCTACCAAGGGACTACAGTTTGTTAATTCTTCCATTTCTGTTATCAATGTTACCACTACAAAAGATATTTCTTCATGATTGTTGTTTTGTACCACTTCTTTTGTTTGTCAGTAACACCAAATTTCGTTCGAACCAGAAAAGATTGGAATGAATTGAACAACGAAAATAATTATATTTTTCCCAACTGTTTACCATTAAGATCAGTATTCTTCAGTTGTTTACAAACAAATTTGCATAATCAAAATATATTAATTGATCCACTAATTTTCCCATTTGTTTTACTTTTAGAATTGGAATGATGGTAGTTTTAAAGTTAATCGTATTGACGAATACTTTCCATTTAATAGTTGTTATGGAAGAATGTGATGGTTAAAACCACTTTTATCGTTTCAAAATGATATTTTATTTTCAATATAGAATAAGTTCAATGATAACGTAAAAAAGATCCATTTAACTAGAATCAGAAAGAATGAAAATAATTGTCTCAAATACATACAAACATAGTTGTGTTTTAGTCGTACTTTTAGTATATATACAGTTTGGTTTGGTTGTTAATTGTTTGACATTCATGATTTCTTGAGAAAAAAATTTCGTATTGTAGTGTAATAATTACTATGTAAGCAAGGTGTGTATTTCATGATTCGATTCATTTTTTTTTTGCTGTAATATTAAGGAACAATCAAAATATTCGATCTCATCCCACATGCCTAAACACTCAGAACAAAATCGATGTAAAGACAATAAGACATCCTATTTTTTTATCTGACAGGTCTACTATATATAAACTTCAGTTTCGTAAGAGAGGATAAAAATAATATGATGTCTTATTGTCTTTACACTCTTCACGTTTTCATTCCGATTTTGTTCTGATTGTTTAGGCATGAGGGATGAAATCAAATATTTTGATTGTTCTTTCAAATTACAGCGACAAAAATGACTCGAATCATGATATACATACCTTGCTTATATAGTAGTTATTTCACTACAATTCGATAACTTTTCATCTATTCATCTTATTCGTTTATACATGTTATTTCAAACGTAAAATTTTGAAAATATAATTTTTACCCCAGAAGTCATAAAGTCAAACAATTAACAACAAAGCCCAACTGTTTATTTTCATTTATTTTGGTATCAGTATGAAATCTTTACAAAATGCCAGAATTCGGGGCTGAATATAAAAATATGTAACACAACTTGGACAAAAACAATATTTGGTAAAAACAAATAAATGTGCACGTCATTACTATATTATGATTTTTTTTTACAATCATTTATTTTAAAATCGTACATGCAATACATGTAACCTGTGGACAATTAATAAATTTGTACAGAACCAAAAAGATAAAATCACACAAAAAGCCTAGCAAAGAAGGAAAAGACAGGATTGACCTGAAAATCTTATTTACAAAAGCATGGGTATAGGAAAACCAATTCAATAACATCAGAATTCAGTACACGTTAGCATCGAAATCTATGCGATCACAGACCGGTGAGACCATTATGAACTCTTGAACAATTGAACTTTTTATCATTCGAATATTTGTATTTCTAGTTATAGATTTTACAACGATTTCGTTTCACGTATGATGACAAATATCCTGCAATCTATACGGTTTTGACTTTTGATTCAAGATTTACAAACCTTTATTTCGATACGAGAAAATGCCATCTTCGAATATGACTTCAGTTTTTAGCAACTTTTAAAAACAATGCAATAATCAGATTAAAATTGTTGAAAAAAGAAACCAACAGCATCATAGAAAATATTCTAGAAACGTGAAACCTGACATTTTTTACTAAGGTTAATATTGCCTTAATGGTAAATATGTATTATTATTACCCTGGCAGCCTTTGAAAAGAGAAATAGAAATGATGTTACAACATTAGGGAATATTTTAGGTCAATTTGTGTTTAAGTTGAAGCTTATTCAACCGAATGATAACGATGAACGACTTAAAACAAAACTAATGCATATACGTTGCACACTCCTGTATTTAAAGCTATAACAGAAAAAGTATACATGAAAAGTAAAATAACAAAAATACCGAACTCCAAGGAAAATTCAAAACGGAAAGTCCCTTGTCAAATGGCAAAATCAAAAGTTCAAACACATCAAACGAATGGAAAACAACTGTCACATTCCTGACTTAGTACATGCATTTCTTTATGGAGAAAATGGTGAAGTATCAAATAATTGGCAAAAGTATTCAAAATAGAATAACACAATCATATTAAGTTCTTTTTATTAAAACATCTCTAATCGATCATTGAATTTTGTTTCCTTTAAATTTTGTTTACTTATCTTCAATTTGAATAAGTCTTGAAAATTGAATACACCGTTCATCTTTAAGATTTGAGAGAGATATGTGTATTTGATTGTAGATGTAACGCGTGCCTGGCGTAACAAACTATAAGCCTGGTATCTTTGATAAGGGGTTGCCATGTTTATTTGTAGATCAAATAGTTTTCTCAACAGGTGTCAACTTATTAATAAAGAACGAAATCTAACAGTCGGAAGTAGTGTGGTTAAACGTTTAAATGTATAATCTTTTGTTGAAATGCTCGATTATCATGGCATTTGGATAACGATAATTCTAATAAGCAGGAGATACACGAGCTCGTTTTTAATCTATCACCTACTACATTTCTGGTTGGAAAATCCGTAGCGAAAACATTTGCATATTATTGGATAACACACAAGTTCAAATTATTTATTCTGAATGGAGTGTACATTTTTGAGGCTTCAAAATGTGAAGTCCAAATCAATGCTGATTTATTATGTAGGTTGGTTGAATACTATAAAGCCCAGAAGTTGCCAAATGATTGGAATAGTCCGTGTCATTTACAAATATGAAGTTGTTACAAGCAGGAATCGTGTTATTCATAATGTTTCTTCTGGTCTGTAAAAACAAAGGCCATTCTGGTGAGTTACTTTTCTACAGGTTACAAAATTGTATATGTTAAATACTACTACTAATTATGATAATAACAATAATCATAAAGATAAAAAATGATGTTATTCTTTATTTTACAAGAGTAAGTAATAAAACATAATCTAAGCGAAACAAACAAAGTAAACCATTTAGAATATATTTAGAAAACACATAGAAGGCAAAGGAATAATAAATGATCTTTAAAAAACACATGGCAGATGAACAATGTTAAGTTATTCTATCATATAGATTTGACATATTTCTCACTCTTAACAGATTTGAAATGTTTTCATACGTAAGAAAATATGGAAAAAATTCATACAATAATATGCACATTAATCTTGTACCCCCAACTGGTTGGTGTCAAATAGAAGATTAACCGAACAATACGATAATTCAAATACCACAAAGCTGTCTATATGCCAAGAGACGAGTTCTTTCAGGTACGATTCCCTGTTTCAGAATCTCAAGGCCTATGAATAATTGCTCTAGTCTCGAAATGAAAATAACGTCACATCACTTGTAGGATTTAGATTGTAGTGAACGGTGTCAAGCGGTAGCAACATTTTTGTGTATGCTGTCAAAATTGTTTTTCAATTACATTAAATTCTAAATAAGTACGAATCTATCATCCCCTATTTGTTTTACTCTGTGTTTTAATCTTCTAAGCATTGACACATGATATATTATGATTCCGTTTTGTAGATTGCTGCATTAATAATGACGACTTGGACATCTGTGGCCAAAAAGTGGCGAGGAATTGTCCTCATTTACAAAATAAGGTAGTTTAGTCTATTAGAAATTATATGTTAAAGATACCAAATATATAAAAAAAAAAGACGTAACTATTAAAACAAATTCAAGGAGATTGGTATATTTTAAAGATTTGTTTGGATAAAAAATATTTTTTGTCTATTGCAAACAACATTCACTTTATTTGAACTCTGGTGGATAGTTGTCTCATTGGCAATCATACAACATCTCCTTATTTGTACAAGATGAAGCAGTTATTGCCCTTAAAAAAGAAATCATATACATATTTAGATTAAAAATAGTAAAAATTATAATATAATATCATTAATAACATTAATTTAATAATATAACTGCGCTATGTTAATTAAAAAGAGGAAACAATCCTGAGTTAATATGATAATAGTATTGATAATAGAAATAACAAAATGTTTTTTTGACCTTTTTACAATCTTAAATAGTAAAGATAAAAACTTTGAATATGTGTATCCAGTACCAAAATTAATGAACCTTGAAAGTTTTTCTAATTTTTCATAAAATATGTCAAAATTAGAGTTCGATAAGTTGTTCCATCTTTATATGCCTCAATGATAACTAAAGACACTCTCAGTTGATAATAATATGTCAGCAAGTTATGAAATCATTATTTTGCTAGGTAAACCCAGAATTTCAAAATTAAAGCAAAAATATAAAGTCCGCTAATGTAACAACCAAAATCCTTTAGCTAGTTACATTAAGACTCGTTCCATTTGGAGTTGGTACAAATCCATCGGTTTTTGTTTGTTACCTTGATTTGAATGTTCTTTAAGGACCTCTGAGATTTGAACATCGGTAAACCACTGACTCAAATTTATATACTTTCTTTTACAATTAAGGTAGATGGGGGTCTAAATTACAATTGATAGAATTTTTTAATAATTTGCCAAAATGTAGTTTAGTTCATGGCTTTTTCCAATATATAACGAAAAGTATGGGTCACGGATCTTTTTTTTCAAGCTACGGGTTGTGAAAAATTGTCAGATTTTGTAAAGATTGTTCATTGAAAACATAATTTTGAGCAATAAAATGAAAACTAAACGATAGAATTTTAAGATAAGATATGAGCAGATAGCTCTTATAATGGGCTTCCGAAAAAAGAAATAAAAATAAGGACAACGGTACTCATGTTCTTGCTACAAAAGAAAATTGGTAAATTCATAACACATTCCAGTATAAAAGTTACATTATCTGAGCTATCTCCCCTTAGATGGCAAAAATATGATAAAACACATAATTTTCTTCATTTAGATGAAAATTCTTACAATTCAAACACATTCTAATTTGCACATTTCATTAAAGATCTAACACCAATAGTTTTCTGCTATTGTACAATCCAAGATGGCAGAAGACACCCGAGCTATTTAAACCATACATAAACAATAGAATGTTTTAAGACATCTGCTTAGTAATTTATATAGATTTCTTCGGAGTCCGGGAAAAAACTTGTTCTCCTTATATTAAATGTTATAATATGTTTTATGTAAATTTGATGGTAATGGTATTTTACGTAATGATACATTTGAAATATTCCTATGCTGAGTGGGATAAAAGTATTTAGTTGGTATTAAATCTCAAAGAAAAGCGATATAATCTTTTAAAGTATCAATAAAGAACTACAGTTTTCATAATTTACAGCATTCTTTACCAACTAATTACTCCCTAATGGCGTTGTTAGTTTTGTGAATTAGTTGACGTTTCTCGCAACTTCAAGTTGCAATTGTAGTACTTTTAGATATTGTATTTAGTTTTATACAATTACCACTGGTCTCACTGACATATTGAATCTTGGTGTTTCATAAATTAAGGTTATCTTCTCTGAATTATACCTGCTAAATCGCTATTTTGATTTGCTTAAAAAAATGAAAAACCTTGTTGTACTAGATATAATATAATCAATATATATTGCTGTGTGTTTGTTTATTCCACATTGGCTAGAGGTATAGGATAAAAAAATGAAAACAACACGTTATAAATTTAATGCGTCCGAAGCGCTTTTCTGGATTTACCCTCGTCAGGAACTCTCAAAGCCGAATATTTGAAAGCCAAGGATGTATAAAACCGAAACAGTTGTAGAGCTATATAATAAAATAAAATGCTTCGCTGAGCGCAGCCTGATACGACCCTGAACAGTTGGGGCAAATTTGGACACAATATTCAAGCTTGATACTGTCTGAATTTGGATTGTGATCAAATTTTTTACATAATATAGGTTTCTGATACAAAATAAATGTGGTCAAAGATCTTATAAATTCATTCCGCAATACTGTGCAATTGAAGATTTCTTCTTGAAAGTTTTCAAAAATTCGAAATTTTGAAAAATTTTGAAAAAAAATTACAAAATTTCTTAAAAAAAATTGGGAAAAAATCCCCCCCCCCCCCACCCAACTTTTTGAAACCCCCCTTGGAGCAATAACCCCAAAACTCAATCCCAGCCTTTCCTTTGTAGTATGGAACCTTGTAGTACAATTTCAGAGATATCCATACACTTACACACAAGTTATTGTCTAGAAACTAGAAAAATACATGTTTTTGGCCCTTTTTTGGCCCCTAATTCCTACATGTTTAAGGCAATTAACCCCAAACTCAATCCCAGCCTTCCCTTTGTTATATGGAACCTTGTGGTAGAATGTCAAAGAGATCCATATACTTACACACAAGTTATTGTCTGGAAACTAGAAAAATGCTTGTTTTTGGCCCCTTTTTGGCCGTTAAAGATTCCTAAACTGTTGGCCTGATAACCCCTAAAATGAATCCCAACCTTCTACTTGTGGTATTAAACATTGTGGTACAATTTCAGAGCAATCGAAATATTATACACAAGTTATTATCCTAAAACTAGAAAAATGCTTGTTTTGGGCCCCTTGTTGGGCCCCTAATTCTTAAACAGTTGGGACCATCATCCATAAAATCAGACCCAACGACGCAAACGCAGACGCAGACGACGACGACAACATACCATTATACGATCCCAAAAAAATGTTTGCGGTCGTATAAAAATGACCTGATATAATAGCAAAATCCTTCTAAGGCCAACTTTGCCTGAGGGAGTTGAAACCTTAGGAGAGGGTTGAGATCTCACAAAACATGTTTAAACCCGCCGCATTTTTGCGCCTGTCCCAAGTCAGGTACCTCTGGCCTTTGTTGGTCTTGTAATTTTTTTCATAATTTTGGTTCATCTATATGTTTCGGAGTTTAGTGTGACGTCCTTTTTCGCTGAACTATTATACATTATTGTTTAGGGGACAGCTGAAGCTCTCCTCCGGGTGCGGGATTTTCTCGCTGTGTTGAAGACTCATTGGTGACCTTGGGCTGTATTTTTCTCTTTGGTCGGGTTGTTGTCTCTTTGACACATTCCCCGTTTCCATTCTCAATTTTATTTATATTTAGCGCCGCTTCTAAAAGAAACACACGAGCCTTTAGGACTGGCCAGACAGTTACTGGTTTAATGTTTCTGTTGAATGCTAATTTTGTAAAGAATTTTGAATTGCTGAAATTGTGAACAGAATACTTTGTGTTAGTGTTTAGCATTTAGCATTTAAATTTGATAGACGATTTTCTTAAAGCTCTTATACTATTAAAGATCACAGTTTGGGATGAGATCCATAGATAATCAATTAAATAATTAAAGTAAATATCGTTTGCCATGAGACTGTCAAACAAACAGCATGATCAGATTCCTAGCAATATCATTTATATAAGGTGTCTTTTGAACTTTTTTTGATTTGAGCGTCACTGATGGGTCTTTGGTGAACGAAACGCGCGTCTGGCGCAAATATGTCAATCCTGGTATCTATGATGAGTTTATTTATATAATGTAGATTGCTGTTAGTTTTGTCTACCTCCCTCTTTTTACATGGTTTTAACGGTTTCTCTTTGACCCATGAATTTAAATTGTTCGTTTGTTGTCTTACGATAAACCCAAATATTAAAAAATGGTATACGACAACACAATTATGCATAATGTTTCAGAAATCAATATTGCCTCCTTCATTATTAATTTAAAATTTCGGAAATTTCTTTGATTCACTATTTGCATCAAAATTATTTTTTTCTTTCAGGTTATACGTTGTGAGCAAACTGTGGCACGTGAGAGAAGACGTGAGCAAAGATTGAGAGATGAAATGAGCAACTGAATTTGATTTAAACAAAACATCGCCAAATATAGATCAAAACAGCTGTTCCTTTTAAATTGATGAAACAAATGTGCCAAACAAAAATAAATATGTATAATTGACTATATATAATAAAATATCAATATCGATATGCATATTTGAATTTATTTTCACGTGATAGCAATGAAGCAACAACAAAAAACACGCAGGCGATACAAAAAAACCCAAAGAAAAGACAAAAAGACAAAAAAACAAGACACATAATGCCACAAAAAAATGAGAATACGAACGCGTCACATTCGATGATGACACAACCCAGAAAAAGAAAAAAAAACATCCTATTTTAGTCATATCAGTTCTATGGTCATATCTGTGGTTAGTATTCCTTTTTGTTTATATACACTCGTAGTTCCTCATGTTTTTAAGCATGCTTACATCATTGGCTTTTAAATTCTTTGCTGATAGCTTCTCATGAGGGTAAATTTGATAAAACTCTTCGGATGCACCAAATTATAAAACGTTATATTTATCCTGACACAAATATTCAAAAATATCCAGCAATATAACGAGTAAATCCGTAAAACATTCGCTAAAAAATTACTTCAACTTTTCAACTACGAATGCTTGGTCCAATAACTTATTTGTAAGCAGCAACTCTCTATTTACAAAAGTCATGACAGGAACGCAGGTTCTAGAATGTCGAATAAAATGGAACATGAATACTTTATAAGCATGACGTTGACATGTTGCTAGAATTAAGGGAAGTACGCAATGATACAAAATGTCTGCTTCTTTGCTTAGTGTGTGTGTGTCAATTTCTAGTTGTAAGTAACCGAATCTGTTTTAAAACCTTGTTACTAATGTCTAATCGTATGAATATAAAGATGTCGTCTCGGATATTTCGGATAAGGAACTCTCAAAAGTATTTGATTCTACCAATTAAGGTAATATTCGTTATAATAAATCAAACTAATCGTCACAAGAGAGTATTTATAAGTTTAAATAGAGTTGACAATTGATGTTCAATCATTATTAATCGATTATATCGTTATGATAATTTATTTTTAAAGCTTAAGTCAACTGTTATTGTATCAATCTATTTCCGAATACTGTACCTTGATGAAAAGTTGCAGCAAGAACATTTAAGCAGCTTGCACATTGAGTATATATTTATATACCTCGTTTATTACAACTACAAAAATAAATTTGAGATTAATATATTGAATCCTTCAAGACTTAACTTCCTGATTTCCAATAAATCAGTTTTCTGTTTATCTCAAATCAGTCTGGTCCCATCTAAGTGGTGATCTAAGCACTTTCAGCGCTTCCCTACGTAATGATATCCACCAAAGAAAGGACAAAATTCAGTGAACCTAAATCAATAAACATGAAAAATAATTTGAGAAAAAGCAAGACAATGGACAAAACATAAAAAGGAATGTGAAGATACACTTACCGAATGCTACGATGATGTATGAGTTTACATGCAATCTTATAATGCATTATATGTATTTAAAACCATGTAACTTTTTACCCTTTTCACAAGTTTTCGTCATTTTATACTCATACGCAAACTGAACGAGCTAGCTCAAAAGGACAATAGTAATCATATTGGACAGAACTACAGACAACACCAACCACCAAAACCCCAAAACCCCGAAAAAACGTAAAACCTGTACATGCTGTATTGAACAACCAATAGTCAAGATAGCCTGACAGGGTACATGCGTAAAATATGGTTGAGTCATAGCAGTTGTACATGCGCATAAACCTCCACATGGTATATCAAGACCAAAAGTAGTAAAAGTAAATACTCAGTATAGCTACCAACAGGATGACTACAAAAAAAATATATAACAAATCGCACATAAGTTGGTCAACAATGTCATACAATGTTAGATCAGCACTTTGTATCTTTTTTGATACGTTAGCTGGTTTTTTTTTACTTTGTGCTGATGTGATGAATCAGGAAATTGGCAATTGATTTTTACAGTTCGTTTGCTGTGCTGTTTAACCACTGTCCTATGTTTGGGGAGGGTTTAGCGCTTACAGACACGTTGAATCCCGCCCTATTCTATATTTGCCTCTCCCAGGTCACGAGCTTGTTATTCGGCATTTGTCTGTGGTTGTTGTCTGTCATAATTGTTTTTTGTTTATTGTTTTGTCATAAGTCAGGCTATTGTTTTTTTTGGTTTGAATTTTTCACATTTTGTCATGTCGGAACCCTTTATAGCGAACTACATGGTATGTTTTCCTTTTCTCATTGTCGAGTTCGTCAGTTGATCTATAGTTGCTTAAATTCGCTTCATTTCGACTGTTGGATAGTTGTCTCATTGGCAATCATATCACATCTCCTTATTATATATACGCTACTACATAAAACAAGCTACATGCACGGTAGCCACTACTGTAGGTTAAATTTAAGTACTCCAGAAAAATAACTTAAACAGAAATCATATTCCTAACAGGTTTAATTATATTATCTAAATAATCTGGCCTTTTTTAGTCTTGAATTTTTTTTATTTTAGGTTCATTTATATGTTTCGGAGTTTAGTATGACGTCCATTTTCACTGAACTAGTACACATTTTTGTTTAGGGGCCAGCTGAAGCCCGGCTGCGGGTGCGGGATTTTCTCGCTATATTGAAGACGCATTGGTGGCCTTGGGCTCTTTTCTGTTCTTTGTTCGCGTTATTGTCTCTTAGACACATTCCCCATTTCTATTCTCAATTTTAATCAGAAATCAAGTCGCAGAAAACTGACAACGCCACGGCAACCGTCCCCCGGAAAATCGACGAAAAGACAAAAACAACAGTCTAAAAATCACAACAATGAAAACCAAAGACCAAGCAACAAGAACCTTACCAAAACTGGAGTCCTGACGGCCATCACATGTTGGACTTCTCTTGTTGCTTCTTGTAAATAAAAAGTCGATAATGTTTTGTTAGTAAGTTTTTAACATGGTCTGTTTCACGAAAAATATTACATGAGAAGACACATATGTCTAAAATAAATTAGAATCAAATAAGCGACTATAGTTTATCGATATTCTAAACGTTTATAAATACTTTGAAAGAAGGGAGAAAAAATACCTAGGGGTGATTTAAATTCATAAATGATAAAAAGCAGACAACAACTTGGCCAGAAATGAAAACCACAACAAGGCAGTAAACAAAAAACAAAAATAACAAAACACTCAACAAACCACTAACGATTGAAAAACAGGAACACCACCAAAACCCATTGGTAAACTCAGATGCTCTGGAAATGTTTAAGTTCCTGTTCCACAATGTTGCACTCGTAATTTGGACCATTCTTGTACAAATCCAGTGATAATCGCTTGATAATCTCTCTTTAAGTACAGAATAAGGAATACTACTTAAAGAGTAGAGAAGTGAAATTATATTATAAATGTAAATATATCATGTAAACGAATAAAGGGAAGAAAACAATCATTTGGGGGTATATCATGGATTCCAAACGAAATAAGACATGATACATTAAAATTGTGATCGTCTCCTGTGATACATCCTTTAATTACCATAAAAACCAAGTATACATAAAAAAAAAGTATTATGGCAAGATTTGTCAATTTTAAATGATATATACATGGCACTAGTAAAACTGTTTGTGTGATGGCAAGATTTGTCAATTTTAAATGATATAAACTGTTTGTGTTATGCATGGCAAGATTTGTCAATTTCAAATGATATATACATGGCACCAGTAAAACTGATTATGATGTCAACCGTTGAAGTTGTAAAGTGTCGGTTTCAGTCAGTATTCCTCAAAACTCTGCTACACTACGATTTGTGTTTAGATTACCTTTCTTTAATGTGAACATGCAAGCACATAACTTATCAAATGAGATTTGTAAATGTTAACACTAGCTGTACAATGTGAACATGCAAGCACATAACTTATCAAATGAGATTTGTAAATGTTAACACTAGCTGTACAATGTGAACATGCAAGCACATAACTTATCAAATGAGATTTGTAAATGTTAACACTAGGCAAAGTGTATTATAGTACATTACCGAAAAATGGGAAAGCTGAAATCATCACTTTCTGTTTGATCCTAGTTTGTAGTCGTTCGTCTTTTTCGATTTAAAGAAACAAAAATCATAGTGAAGTGAATTGTCTCGTTCGGTAAAAGTGTTTTTGGGATTTATAGAAGGTGTAAACTCTGACTGATATGCGGGTTATTGAGTGCACGTGACAGGCCTTAATAGATTTATTTGAAAATGAAACTAAAGACTTAAGTAAAATGCATGATTTTCCATAAAAAAGGTTATGCATTAATTTGGCTTCATATAAAATCATAACAAGTAGACTAGAAGGGATGCCAATGTAAACCTATTGCAATAAGGACTGCTTAAAATACCAATCAAGTGGAGCAGGAACTGCTGACCCTTTTGTAGCACTCTACATCGCCAAGGTGTTTTGTTGGTGTTCGTGCAGTGCAATCTTTAGTTTACGGTATAATACTCTATATATTGCTGTTTGTGTTTTAATAGCTTTCTATGCAAAATATTTGTCTAACTAGATTCATTATGCGTAACATGTTCTAAAGCGGACAGGGAAACGTTATTATAGTTTTAAACAGTTGATACTCATAGAATGAGTTTCATGTTTTTGCATATAAAAATTAACAACATTCTGTAGTGTTTCTAATAGCTAGTGTTCCGGGGTTTTATAAATGTTAGATATAGATATGTTGACTAAGTTGAACAAGGTTTACCAAAGCAATAATAGTATCGTTGGTTTTCTGATCCCTGTATTCTCTTGGTCTACTCATGCGTAAAGGTCTCAATTCACTATGAGAGTAATGTACCAAAAGAAAACATAAACGTTGATACAATAGCAGTCGACTTTTCTTCGGATCTTTTTTCAAAATCATTGCAAAGACCTATTTCCATATAAAAGGTTAACTCAAATTGTCTGATATATATTGTTGTCCAATTCATTATATTCCTTTGTGCAATGTCATATGAATTGAACATATTTTTGTCATTTCGGGGCCTTTTATAGCTGACTATGCAGTATGGGTTTTGCTCATTGTTGAAGGCCGTACGTTGACCTATAGTTGTT